ATAAAATAATAATAATAATAATTATACAATATCGGAATAATAATCTAATAAAATAATAAACGGTTCTATAACAATACGTACATATGTACATATGTACGTACATACATGAATATTTCAAGATCAATTAATTAGAAAATGCTATTTTATATAGGTACATGATTTTAAAACTTAGAAGAAAATTAGTAGTTTCAAGCTTGATATTATACCTTTATAATCCGGGTGAAGGAGATAAGCAAGTAGATACGGTTTAATATCAAATTTAGCATAACATTTGTTAAAAATACTAATAGCTGACCCACGAAAAGGATTATTCATAGGAATTCTATTAATAGCCGCAGCTAACTTTACTATACTAACAAAACAATCAGCAAAGCTCGCTATACATGCTTCTAAACTATGTATTGCTTCTTTAATTGGTTGGATTATCGATGCAATATGCCGACAGTTTGTATAAAATGTATCATCATCATCATTTAAATTGAAATAATCATTCTGTTACTAATTACATCACGATCATCCTCTAAAATCTAAAAAAATATATAGGTACAATTAATTTTTAAGTTTATACAAACTGCATTTAAAACAAATTAATTGAATATATAATATATATTAATATACCTTATCAAAAACAGGCTTTAACCTTACGATTGAAGATGTAGTTTCAAAGACAGAAGCCCATCTTGTTTCGATATATGTTTTTAAGCCGCCGCCACCTATTTTCATACTTCGTATATTGTCATGAAGAAGTTTGCATACTTTGTGTGACTTTGTAAAAAATTGAATAACTTGATTTGCCTGTTTTAAAACTTGATTGACAAATTGAATTTTAACTATATCGTTCACAATAAGATTTAGCGCATAGGCCATGCATCTGATATTCTAAATTTGGAAGTAATTGTGCATAGTAATTTTGTGAGCAACATGAATATTACGCCCATTATCAGTCACACATGCAATGAATTTATTAGAGCCAATTTCATTAACGATATTAGAAATTTTGGAAGCGAGAAATTTACCAGTTTGTGTAGCATTAGAAAAGTCTAAAATAGAGTATAAATATTCTTTTCGATCAGAGGTTGATACAATGAAATTATATAATGAATCGTTATTTGGGCTTGACCATCCGTCAAGAGCTATTTTTTTAAAAATAAAAATAATAATAAGTAGCAATACAGTAATATATAAGTTAAATGCAGATATTTTGGCGAATGTGGATATTATGATGAATTGAACATACTACAAGAAAACTATTTTAAAATTTTGGTGCAATATGAATAACTATTATTAATAAATTTATTGTTAAACATTTTTGCGCAAAAAATCAATTTTCTGCACCAAAACGTATAACTATTAATAAAAAATTATTCGTGTTGCTTGAAGGTAAGTAAAAGATGGCATTTCGAACAACTTTACTTAGTAAGTAAAGTTTAAAATGGCAGCAAACATGCAAGAATATCGAGATCAATTCGAAAATCGAGAGGCATGAGATTTTTGAACCGAGAACTGCTACAATTGAGCATTAGTAATAAGTAATTTTCAATGCACCCTTTGATGTTTGTTGGTAAAAAAATCTAAAGAGTTACTCAGCATAAAGTCTTGCTCTAAATGCAAAATGATTCTTAATTAAAAATCGACGTATATTAGCATATTCAATAATGATCGTTATGTTCGTCAAAATACCCACAGGAAAATTAGAAAATATTGTTGATATAATTTATATAACAATTAAATTTTTTTTTTTTCTATTTTGTAGAGCAAATTATAAACTATGACATAATTTTTTTAATATATAGAACTTTTACCTAAAGTTAAACTTTGTGCTTTGTCAAGTAAATTATCAATTCGTACAGTTACATGAGCGGCCTCCTCATTCAGTATTCATTCAGCTAAAGTAATCCTCCCAGGAGAATTATATCCCGGTTCAAGTAAATTCAACAAGTCTCGAACAAATGGATTGTTGATTACGGAAAATGGAATTCTATAAAAGCTTTGAGTAATGCCTTATTGATTTCATTAGCTTTTTTATTTGATATAGGTTTAGGACGTGAACATGAGGCTTTAGATTTTGCTAATGATGACGATGATACTATACTGTCATTATCACTATTATTATTCGTTACTTTATCATTTTGTCTTGCCACTTCAACTGGCCAATGTCACCTTATATTATCAGGAACTTCACCTTTACAATGCAAAGCCAAATAGGCTTCCATCTTTGCGGGTCTTCTACGCTTCCAGTTTTCTTTACTACAATAATGACATTTTGCATCGTAGTAACTTTTGCCATCAGATTTTCCTATAATAAAGTCATTCCAAACTGCAGCCTTTGGATGTTCACTCTTATTTACTACAATTCTTTGAAGGCTTGTTTCTCCAACTTTACGTTTTTTAATAGTTTCACCAGATTGCGATGTATTAGAAAAATTTTCAAGTAATTGCAATGTATCAGAAGAATTTTCAAGTAATTGCAATGTATCAGAAAAGTTTTCAAGTAATTCTGACATATTAGAAATATATTCAGTTAAGTCTTTCATAATCAAACGTTTGCAAATAATTTGTTATAAGAGCACAAAAACAGATGAATTTTTTTTTTATTAAAATTTATAGTTATATATACATTCGCAGCATTTATATTTAAAATAATTGAATAAAAGATAAAAATCCACTGCTGTTTTTATTTTAATCATATAATGAACTAGCTAAAAATTTAATAATTAATTCTTCTAGCGTGAGCGTTAGTCCAAGTTTAAAGACCAATGGAACAACCAGTAAATTTTTTCTTACTGGCTTATTTAAGTATAATTATATAAAATAATTAACAATTTACCTTTACTTATCAAACATAAAAGGAATAAAACTACTATCCTGAAGCAAAT